TGGTTCTGCTTGCGCGTCGACTTCTCCACGTCGCTGTAGTCCAGACCAGGGTAGGACGCCTTGTTCGCGGCGTACGACTGCGCGTGCCACTCGATCTCGAAGTTGTTGACGTAGAAGTTGCCGAACTGCGCCTTGTATTGCTGCTGCACTTCGTACGGGTAGAAGTAGAAGCCGCACACGTCCGGGTCGTTCTCACGCACTTCGTCCGCCACGGGTGACAACACGTACGCGATCTTCTGCGCCAACATCGGAGGGAGACACAGCTCCGTCGAGTTCTGTGTAGCCGTGTTGTACTCAAACAAACACATGCGCAGCATACGGTCTCCCCACTGTGTCGAGTTGCGCACAAAGTACGTGAAGTCATCACTTACGACGCAGAAGTTGGGATCCGTGCAGCGCAAATGCAACGGCTGTAGACTCACTCTCGCGTACAGCTCCGTCTCCTCAGACAAACACGACTCCACACCTCCACTTATGGTGGTCGAGTGCTTGATAGGCAACGGGATGTTCATTCCAGGATCTCCATGACGTCTCGCATTGATCACCTCAGCCGTGTTGCCACACTGATACCAATTCTCCGGGTCGTAGCTGTTCGGACACATGCTAGCCTCCTCCCAGTCCGTGATCTCCTGCATCCAGTACTTGAGACTGTGACTGCCTCGAGCGTGTCTCGGTCCGAGCGCAGGGTGGATGCCATCAAACCACGAGTTCTTGAGAATGAATCCTCCAGTATATCCTTGCTTGGTACGGAACAGATCATTGTAGCCGACCAGAGTCATAACGTGGCCACCTTCTGGCGTCATCACGTGACTGGTGATGAATTCGCCGTCCATGTTGTAGTTCTCTCCCATTTCGATCGGAACGCAGCACGTCGTCATGGATAACTCTGGTGGACACACAGTGCATTCCGTTGAGGCGGGATTGCAACTATCTTGTCCTGCAAACTCGCCGATACAGGGATAGTAGTGCGTGATGTACGGCATGGCCGTGGAAATCGCCATGGCCCGCTTATCTTTGACGAGAGCGTGTTTGACAGACACTTGGTCGAAGTAAGTGTCCATTTTCTTGATCGTGATGCTCAACGGATTGGTTTTGCGCGCTTCAGGTGTCAAACCAGGACACACGGTGTCGTTACCCGGATCGGGGATGTACGGGCAGATGGAGTCCGGGAAGATGTTGTCTTTGAGCCCGTTCATCAGGTACATCAACTCCGTGACGTCGCCTCCGTCGGTGGAGTTCTTCCAGATCTCATTGCCAGGGATCAGACACGCCACCTGTTGCGGCGAGCCTGGGGGTCCAGCACACAGCCGAAGAACCTCCGCGCCGTATGCCTGCTCGGACAATGCCAAGAACTCGTCTTCCTGTAGCCATCCTCGAGCGATTCCCTGTTGACGGTAGCTGTTCTCCAGCACAGCCACAGTAGCAAAATACCAACATGTGCCGCGCTCGTCCTGTGTCTTCAGCGGGGTTACGTAGTCGACCGCAAACTTGGACGGGAACTTGCTGTCCTTGTGGAACGTCGTCGTCGCACTCTGCGTCGTCACCGCGGAATGCATCGCCTCCCTAACATTTGACCTCGTCAGATACAACATTTTTGCAATCGCAATACCGTTCGATTTCTCACATTTGATGTTGCATACTGGCGATAATCTCTTGCTGAGCGGCCAGAGAACTGTGTATCATCGCAGCGTAACTTAGTCCAGCGACGCCCAGCGCTGCACCGAGAACCAACGGCCCCCACGATCGGCTTCTAGTCGCCGCCAGTTGGAGTGGAATTGGTGACACGAAAGGATCGCGTTCGTCCGTCATTTGCACTGCTCCGTAGCCGTCGGCCATGATGTAGCGGACAAGTGCGAGAAGATCAAAGTGTATCTATGATCGACGGATGCAATTGCAACGGTTTGCACATCAAAACGTCGTTTTAGCCAATCGCATCAGTCACGTAAAGTCGCTCTATGATTGGTAAAAACTAATAATTCGAATAAGTACGATTACGTAGCACGCTTCAAAGAGACCTTCATTCCTTGTTTTGGGAAGGATCGAGAAGACACGCCTTCCGCACTCGTAGATACGCTCGTCGTCGCCGTGCTACGTCAGAACCAAGCTCACTCCTTCCAAACTGTATTCACCACCGTCTTCCTCTCGCTATCGTCTCTCTCCTCACCTACATTTCATCTTATTCACCCTCATATTCATCGAGAAAAGCTACTATGTTCGACGGGAGCTTCAAGTCCTCGCGCAAGGTAAATCTTAGCGGCCGCAAGAAGCCCACAACAGGCTACAGCGCGCGTCTCGCGTCTTTATCGAGCTCCAGAGGTCGAGACGACGTGCTGGCTGGCTCCAAGCAAGAGCTCATGCTGCAGAACCGGTTGGCGCGGGAGGAACGCCACGCCATGAAGAAACGTACGGCCGCCAGTACCCGTATTCAAGCCCAATATCGTCGTCTGAGAGCCGCGGAGCGGGCCAGAGCTGAGATATTCAACCAATTGGAGCAGCAGCTCACGCTGACGGTGCTGACTGGAGATATTCAGAGCAACGCGCTTCCTACCCCACAGCTTCAGCAATTTCTTCGGCAATTCCTCTTTGCAGTTCACAGTCGAGTGGCAGCCGAAAGAGTACGCAAAGTACAGGACTATTTGGTGTTTATGCTGCTCGTGAGCTGTTTAAAAGGGGAGAACGGGACCAATTTCCTCGAAGCGGACAAAGACGCATGCTGGGTGTTTCAAGTCACGCGGATGAGTGAGATCGCACTGCAGACTCTTGTACAAGAGCAGTTGAAGACGTCGGTAAAGAACCCGGCGGTGGCAGTGAACCCGTACTTGTTGCTACTGGACACGTTGACGAATGTCTCGAAGTATCCGACGCCCGAGGGACAGACGGCGCTGTCGAGTGTGTTGTATCACTTAGGCGTTACCGCGCGATACGGGATCTTTGATGCGATGAGTGCGTGCATAGCGCAGCAGGCAGAGGAAGGCGTATCTCGTGTGGAGAATGACAGGCTGGTTCAAGTGGCTGCCAATATCGCGGCTCAAACGTTAAGATTGTCGATTCAAGGCCAACAAGAGCGAGCGTCCGAGGTATTGCGACACTTTGCGAAGAAAATTCTACTCTCTGCGTCATCTGTGAGCTCACCTATCACAAGCTTTGTGACGTCTGCTGTAGCTGAAAGTGCCAACAAGTCGGGCTGCTTTTGGGCGTCCGTGGTTCAGCAACTTCGCGATAATCTGGATATGACGACACTGTCGTGGCAACATCGTGCAATTATAGTCGGGAATGTCGTGGAGTTGACGTCCTTGTGCTCGTTTGATGCAGCACTTGTCGATGTCGTCCCGTTTGTATTGTCAGACTTGGTGACGCCCTCACTGGTGCAATGGGCGTTCGATGTGAAGCACACCGAGCAGGATCCGATGGCACCCGAGGAAGATTACGATATGGATAATGAATCAGAAGTCCCGATCGTGCCTCCAACGTATCTGTCCGCCGGAATTTTCGCATCGGACGAAGAAGTTCGACTTGGTGTCCTAGCGCTGGGCAAGTCCGAAGCCAGCGTACGTGCTCAGTGGCAAAAGATTTGCCATTCCAACTTTAGTACTCGATGTCTGGACGTTCTGTTGCACGTTAACGAGCCACTGGAGCACGGAGAGAACGCTGTTGCTAAGTTCTGCCATGTCCTGACTACAATGCTATTGTCAACTGGAAGATCTTACGTCCTGAGCGTTGCTGCGAGGTTTGCAAATCCACCTCCAGCTTTGTTTGCTTTGCTAAGTGCAATGACTGTCGAGCAGTTTGCTGGCAACCCTATTGTCCCTGCGAACAATATAAGCCTGGTCAACAGCATGTGGCAGTGGATAAAACCGAGAATTGAGAACATCACAGCGCAACGGCCCACAGAATCGCTCACCAATGGTCCGCTGGCGTTTACGACGTTGCAGTTGCAGGTGCTGATAGTCTTCAATGTCGTCTACAGTCACATGCTGCTGGGTCTGGACGATGAGGCATTCTACGATGGACAGTGGCCACTCCGTTTGACTGAAGTTGAAGCCATCGTGACGTTTTTGAAGCAGTTTATCTACGACACGTGCTGGACAATCACCAGCAACAACACACTTTCAGTCAACAGCATGGATGAAAAGGAGCTGGTGTTGTTTTCGGCGGTTGTGTCATCTATCAAGCTGTTCAACCAACTCTACGACCGCGATTGCCGACGTCGCTTCATGCCTGATGGAGCGTGGCTGTGGCCTTCAATGCCTGTCGTCAAGGAGATCGTGGATCTTGAGCTGATGAAGGAAGACGGGAACCACGATGCACACGCGATCTACATGCTGATGAATGGAAAGGCGTCGTCTCCTTACGCACGTGCAGCGTTAATCCTCGTCACGATTCCGCAAGTTTTGTCGTTCAACGAACGCGTCCAACTCTTCCAGAAGCTGCTGGAAGACGGGAAGGCACAACTGGGTCATATTCGTGACGAGTTTTCACGAGCTTTGCAGGTGCGAGTGAAACGCGATGAGATTGTAGACGACAGCTTTGATTTCTTCCAGAAAGTGTGCGATACGATGTCTCCTGCAGCCCTCAAGTCGCGTGTCAAGGTCACGTTCGTCAACGAGCAAGGGCTAGAAGAGGCTGGTATTGACGGCGGCGGCGTGTTCAAGGAGTTTATGGACAGTCTGACCAAGAGCGCTTTCTCGCCAGAGTACGGCTTCTTCCTGGAGACAGAAGAGCATTTACTGTACCCGAATCCTGGCGCGAGATACATTGTGGACACACGCAAGGAGGCTCTAGATCGTTATCGCTTCCTCGGCCGTGTGCTGGCCAAAGCCGTGTACGAAAACATCCTGGTGGAGCCACAGTTTGCAGCTTTCTTCCTGAACAAACTTCTAGGCAAGTTCAACTACATTGACGACTTGCACTCGTTGGACCCGGAGCTGTACAAGTCTTTGATGAGACTCAAGCACTACAATGGCAACGTGGAGGACCTGTCGTTGACATTCAGTGTGAGCGAGATGGAGTTCGGCCAAATGGTGACAAGGAACCTCGTCCCTGATGGAGCCAACATCCCGGTCACAAACGAAAACCGGATTCGGTATATCCACTTGATGGCCAACTACAAGCTGAACGTGTTGTCGTCCACAGAGAGCGCCGCATTCCTCAAGGGCTTTCGGGATTTGATCCCGGGCACTTGGATTCAGATGTTCGCCCCTGCTGAGCTGCAGATGCTCATCGGTGGCTCAGCTACGAACATCAACATCGACGACTGGGAGCGTCACACCGTGTACGGCGGTGGCTATCATCCGTCTCAACGGATTGTCCAGTGGTTCTGGGAAATCGTACGGGAAGATTTCACAGCGGAAGACCGCGCTGCGTTGCTCAAGTTCATCACAAGTTGCTCTCGTCAACCGTTGCTGGGCTTTTCGAAGCTCCAACCGCAGATTTGCATCCACCAGGTGCGTGTTGAAGACGACGACCGGTTGCCGTCCAGTGCAACGTGCATGAACCTACTCAAGCTGCCAGCGTACTCCAATAGAGAAGCCATGCGCAAGAAGCTGCTGTACGCCATTAGAGCCAACGCAGGCTTCGACCTGTCTTGAGCAAACAGTGTCCATAATGAAAGTCTAAATAAACCCAGCTGATACACTCATCGGGTCGGGTGCCCCGTCGCCCGTTCCCTGATCGCACATCATTTCCTGATTCGCGGAAGATCCGACAAGTCCAGCGACGGCGGAACAAAATGATCAAGAGCTACGGCACGGAGGCCGTCGACTTTGCGCGTGAAGAGGACGCCTTTATTGACCGTCCAGTCAGCAGCCACCGTCGCCATTCGTGGGGGGTCATGGTGTTCGCTGCAGCGCTGGGGGTCGCTGGCGTGAGCTGTGTCACGATGCACAACGCTTTGGTATCCCAGCAAGAAGTCCTCGCCAAGATGCAGCAGCAACTGTGAGGGACATTGGATGAGTGAGTCTATTATGCTGATACTTCGAAGTACTTACACTAGTGTCGCTGTAGGGATGCCATGTCGTCTGTTGGTATGCTCGATGAAGACTCGACTTGGAACAGCGGCAAGAAGTTGAAGAAGGCCAAGAAGTTCCCGACCAAGTTTGCGGTCGACTACGTCACTCCTTTGAAGACGCAGGACGAACGCGGCACGTGCTGGGACTTTGCCACCGTTGGAGTCTTAGAAAACAGCTACAGACAGCAAGGAATCGCTCACGGCTGGCTGCAAGAAGACGAGTACATGGCGATCTCGGAGCAAGCGTACGGCGCCGAAGTCCTACGTCTGTGTGCTGGTCCTCCTGGTTCTCCGCAACAAGTGGCGTGCTTGATCCCAGGCAACGGCATCTGGAAGAACTCGACCGAGGGAGGTGACGCCACGCTACTGGTGTACCTGATGAATGGCTTGAAGGACAATATCTATCCACATTCCATCTGCCCATACTACCCCGACGATGGTAACGACACCGTGTGTCCTGGTCTGACATCCGAGAAGCGCCAGACCAACCCGTTGAGTCTCAAGATCAAGAAGATGGATACTCTAATGGACGAGATGTCGATCAAGCACACGATGCTGAAGCACCGCCAAGCTATGTCGTTGACGACAGCTACACCGTACACGACGCACTACTATCCCTGTATCGGTGAGCTTGCTGCTCAAGGACGATGCAATCCAGCCTCAATGGAATGCACTTTGTGTCCACCTGAGTTATCCATGACGCCTTGCTGCGTTCCAATCGAAATGGGAGAGAACTACAACATGGACGGCGAATTCATCACCAGTCACGTGATGACGCCAGAAGGTGGCCACGTGATGACTCTGGTCGGCTACAATGACCTGTTCCGTACCAAGCAAGGATATACTGGAGGATTCATTCTCAAGAACTCGTGGTTTGATGGCATCCACCC